ATGAATGGATAAAGATGTGGAATATTTCTCAGCCAAAAAAGAGAAGGAAATCTTACCATTTATGACCACATGGATGAACCAAAATGAAATAAGTCAGATAGAGATAGACAGATACAATGATTTCACTTATATGGTGACTCTAACAAAACAAAACAAACGACCAAACAAAATTAAACCGAAACAAACTCATAGATACAGAGAACAAACTGATGGCTGTCAGATGGCACAGAGTGGGGGGAGGGGCAAAAAGGTGAAGGAGATTACGAAGTACAAATTGTCAGTTATAAAATCAGTCATGAGGACGTAATGTATAGCATAGGAAATATAGTCATTATATAATATTGTAATGACTATGTACAGTGATAGATGGCTATTAGACTTAGCATGGTGATTACTTTCTAAGGTATATAAATGCCTGGTCACTATGTTGTATACCTGCAACTAATACAATATTGCATGTCAACTATAATTTAAAATTTAAAATAAGGACCAACAGAATAAGCCAGGTAGGCTTTTTGGTATCACTATGCTTTTAAAATAGACGACAAATTTGTTTTAATTAAGCACTGTGGTTTCATTTTACACCATGATATTGGTTCTTTGAAGAGAGATAATATCAATTATCTTTTCCAAAAATCAGTACATTGGGGCAATATCTCTTTGAATGAGTATTTGGTCATTTAACTGTCAGTCACAATGGTGATAGCTCCAGTATTGTTCTCATATGATGTAGGGACATACTAATGACCTTTGTTAAAGTGTTGGTTGCATAGGAAGAGGAAAGGTTTGCATTACTTTGGGAGAGAGTATCTTTGTCCATAAAAATAAAACTTCACTGTCTATCATTTTTATGAAAGATTTTTTAAAAAGCTACAACTTAGATGCCAAATGGAAGGATTTCTGGTCTAGACCGCATCTAGTGCTTTATAATGGAATTAAAAAACAAAGTGTTTTAGTCCTGGCTGGTTTTTCTCTGTGGTTAGAGCATCAGCCTGTGGACCAAAGGGTCTCGAGTTTGATTCTCAGTTAAGGGCATGAACCTCAGTTGCGGGTTCAATCCCTGGTTCCAGTTGGGGCTTGGGTGGGAGGCAATCAATCTTCCTCCCTCCCTCCCTCCCTCCCCCCTTCCCTCCTCCTCCCTCGCCCCCTCCATCCCTCCCACTCTTTCTGAAAATCAAGGGAAAATATATCCTCGGGCCCTAACTGCTTTGGCTCAGTGGATAGAGCATCGGCCTGTGAACTCCCGGGTTCGATTCCGGTCAAGGGCATGTGCCTGGGTTGCGGGCACATCCCCAGTAGGAGATGTGCAGGAGGCAGCTGATTGATGTTTCTCTCTCATCGATGTTTCTGGCTCTCTATCTCTCTCCCTTCCTCTCTGTAAAAAATTAATAAAATATATTTAAAAAATATATATCCTTGGGAGAGGATTAAAAATAAGTAAATAAAAAATAAATAAATAGAAAACCAAAGTGTTTTAAAGGTCATTTTCGCAGAATACATAATATGCTTATATAGTTTACCTGATCTTTTGAGCTTTGACATTAACACATTTTGGGCCAGTAGTTTTATTGCTAGCTTTACCCAGTGGCCAGATAGGCTTCTATTGAATGAGTACAAAAAACGTTTTATATAAATGTTAAAGGCACGCTTTAAAATTAAATACCCATTGCATTTTGAAGTTATTTATTACATGTTCTTAAAAGCTAATATCTTTTTAAAGTATGATACTTTGTAAAACACTGTGTAATATGAAGCGAGAATTCTTGTGATCTGTCCGCAATGTCTTAAAAGAACAAAAACCTGTATGAAAATCTGTGAATCTCTCTCTGAAGTCTGTAGTGTTAATTTTCTCACATAAAAGAAATAATTATTATTTGGGAATCATACTATTTTATTATTCAGCATTGTTTGGAATCAACAATTATTAAAGTAAAAGAGATAATTATAAGTATTTAAAAAAAATTAAAGACTATTGGAATACAAAGTACTTACTTCCTGAGTAGAAATTCTAGTTTGTTTTAATTAAAAGTCATGGCAAAAAAAGAAGGGGGCGAGGTTTTTTTTTGGTTCCACTCAAAGATATCATTGGTGTTTGTACAAGGAGGTTTCTCATCAAAGGGGAAGAGGCACGGTGTGGCCTCCCTGGGGGTCTCTGTTCAGTGCCACCGAAGGAATCATTGGTGATGTCCTAGAGTAGCGGTTCTCAATCTGTGGGTCGCAACCCCTTTGGGGGTCGAACGACCCTTTCACAGGGGTTACCTAAGACCATCAGAAAACACATATATAATTACATATTGTTTTTGTGATTAATCACTATGCTTTAATTATGTTCAATTTGTAACAATGAAATTGGGGGTCACCACAACATGAGGAACTGTATTAAAGGGTCACGGCATTAGGAAGGTTGAGAACCACTGTCCTAGAGGCTAAAAACACAGTGAATGCAGACCAGTTAAAAGATAGAGATTGTCAGATTGGATAGGAACAAGTCTCAAACACATGTCCTAGAAACCCTACACAGACAGGTTAAATATAAAAGGATGGAAAAAAATACACCCTGAAAACACTAACCACGCACTAACTGACCATATTAACATTAGAAAATATTAGAAAAGTAGGCTTTAAACAAGGAATATTGAGGAAGAGAGGCATCACATAATGATAAAGGTCAGTTCTCCTGAAAGCCATAGCAACCTTAACTGTGAGTGCACCTACCAACAGAACTTCAAAGGACCTAAAGCAAAACATATAAAGCTGAAAGAAGAAATAGACAATCCACAATAATAGCTGATTTCAATGGGTAAACACGAATTCAGTAAGAATAGAAGACCTTAGCAACACTGTCATTCAGTGTGACCTAGTGGGTATTTATGGAACAGTCCACCCAATAACAGCAGAATACACTTTTTTTTCATGTGTACATTAGACATTTACCAAGATAAAAAAAATTCTGGGCCATAAAATCAACCTTAATAAATTTAAGTAATTGATATGTAAAGTTCTCAGCATAGAGCAATTAAACTAAAAAATCAGTAACACAAAGAACTCTGGAAAATCCCCAAATATTTGGAAGTTAAGCAACATAGTACTATATCATAGTTCAAACAAAAATTAAAGGATTAAGTTATTCCCTTTTGAATTGAATGAAATATGCAAACTTCATTTAATTTTGAATCGAATGAAAATGAAAACATGATATATCAAAATTTGTGGAATGTAGGTAAAGCAGTGCTCAGAAATTTATAGCATTTTATACTTACATTACAACAGAAGAAAGGTCTAAATCAATTATTTAAGTTTCCATCTTAGGAAACTGGAAAATAAAAGGCAAATTAAACCAAAAGTCGGCAGAAGGAAGAAAATAATCAGTAAAATAGAAATCAGAAAAGCAATGGAAAAAACAATGAAATAAAAAGCTGATTCTTTGAAAAGATAAATACAATTGATACATCTGTAGCCAAATTAACCAAGTGAAAAGGAGAGGAGTAATAGATTACCAATATCAGAGATAAAAGGAGATTGTTATAGTCAATAAAAGGATAATAGGGAATATTATGAACAGATTTATGCCTCTACATTTAATAACTTAGGTAAAATAGAGAAATTCCTCGAAAAACACAAATCACCAAGCTCATTCAAAAAGAAATAGATAATCAGAATAGCCCTATCATAATAGAAGAAATTGAATTTATAGTTGAAAACTTTCCAACAATAAAAAAATTTCAGCCCCAGGTGGCTTCACTGGAGAATTCTGCCAAACATTTAAGGAAGAAATAACACCAAGGCTACACAAACTCTTTCTGAAAGTTGAAAAGGAGTGAATACTTCCAATTGAAGAGGTCAGCATTGCCTCAATGTCAACCCTATTATAAGAAAACTGCAGATCAATATTGCTCATGAATATAGATGCAAAAATCCTCAACAAAATATTGTCATTCTCAGCTAATTATTTTCTAATATGCTTAATCCTTATTTTTTTAAAAAAGGGATTGTTTCGACAATGGCGCAAAGTACTAAAACCTTAACACTCAGGACACAACTAACCGTTGTTCTCATTCCTAAGAATCAGAAGCCATGACAGATTGCTGGTAACTAAGAGATGGAGGTGATGTTGTGAATCCATGGAAGGCAGAGTTCTGCTTGTTGTCTGGTGGTACATGGCAGAAAGTCTAATGCAAGCCTCCTTACCTTATTAAGAGGTACTCTCTCTGCTAGTAATTTTGGATTACTCACCTGATTATCCTGTTGCATTGTGACCTTGGGAGGCCGAGTCTTGGGTCAAGTTCACCTCCTTATTCACAAGGCCTGGCCTAACCAGTAAATGTTAAATGTGATCCATTGAATAGTGTGGTTGTAGAAGTTGGAAGGAATTTTGAACCAGTGAATATAGAGCCAGGGCTCCTCCACCTGCCTTTCTCAGAGCCAGGGCCCATCCTTGAACATGAATGAGAACTCAGGTACTGGCACAGCTGCAGCTGGGCTCCTGTCATCGAAGAAGCCAGTCAATCCTGAGGGCCACCACCTTCCCTTGGGTCTCTTGAGGCGACCATCAGCCCCCAGGGGAAAAGGCGACACTGAAAAGCTTTCTCAGCCCAGTCGCAGAATGATTTATACTGGAGCCGGAGAGCATGGTGGGACAGGGGCTGTGAGGCAAGGAAGGAGGCTGGTGGAGGGTGAATTCAGTTTTAGCTGTTATTTTTTAGATATAGTTCACCATCAAGTATAATCGTCTATAAATAGCTGGACATAGAGAGCTCGAGAGAGGGAGGGTGTTGGCTGAGGGTGCAAATCTGGGCATCATTCTCTATAACTCCCCAGGGCCCCCCATAACAGCCCAGACTGTTTTTGCTCTATTGGAGGTGAGGCCTGTATCCTACATGAAATGGATTCGGTTTACTCACCTTTCCAGTGGAAATTCTGTAATTGTTCATATCCTCTCTGTGTTTTTACTGTCTGTTGAATCAATTAAGTTAATTTTACATGTTGTTTCTTTCTTTCAGAAAAACTGTACAACTCCAGTGGGCGAGATTTAAGAAGGGCCCTTTTCTCCTTGAAGCAGATATTTCAGGTAAGAGAGGAAGAAAGTGCCCTTGGGTTCTGTTTTTGCGTTGCTATGGAATGAGATACAGACCAGGGTATACCTTTTATTGATTACTGTCTGCCTCAGTGTAAACCTGTCTTGTCATTGCCCCCAGGGTGCACATCTCAGAAAAATTAAAACAGCTGTCCACATACACTGCCTGCTTTTGGTCCTCCCCAGCTCCATCTCTTCTCCCGCTTCCCACCAGAGGGTTTGAGGGTGTCATTCTCTTGCTGGTTCCTCGTAGCCTTCTGGATTACTTCTGGATTTCTCAGTATAACATCGAGGCCCTTCTGGATCTGTCTTCTGTTCACACCTTGCTGTCCTTGGCTGCATCCTAAGTTCCACCTGTGATTGCATTCTGGAAGCCATCTGTGTCTTCTCTCTTCTGCCTCTTTGCCCCTAGACCTACTGCTTTTATCCCAGAATGCATTGCCCCCCCCCCGCCCCCGCCCAACCCAAATCTACTCTCTACGTCTCTCAGTTTCCTTCCTGGTATCTCCTTCTGTCAGAGAGCCTTTCCCCAAAGTAAATGACCCCTCACCACAATCATGGGCCCTCCGAATACCCCTGATGTCCTCTGTGCTTACATCAAGTATGGAACTTAGATACTTCAGGTACTTGTGCAAGTCCAGTTATCTGGGAGCTCGCTGGGTTCCATTGCTGGGTCTCTGAGGCCTCGCACAGTGTCTGGTGCCACTTAAGCAATCGATGAATGGGCTGCGCAACCGGGATAGTCTAACAGATGTCTGTCTTCTGTCCTCTCTGTCTCTAATTTAGTCAGTGCTTCACTGACTAATTGTCCCAAAGCTCCACCTCCCACATATCCATCTGTGTATCCCTGTTCCTTAGATGAACAAAGCGAAACTTCTTCACCCTCCATGACATCCTTTCTCAAACTCAGATTCCTGACTGCAGGAGCTGGACTTCCACTGTGTCCCCAGAGGCCATACCCATGCCCCTCCTCACCCTGACTCATGCAGTCCCTCTGTCTGCCTGTGTTTCTGTTGTTCAGCTTTGACTTCTTTCAAAACCTGTGTTCCCCTTGTTGAGTATCTGGTTGATGGCAGAACCACACAGAGAAGAGCTATTCTAAGTGACTTTAAAATACTGTAATTTGTGCATCTTGAATCACATACACACACAAAGGAACTGTTTTCATGTTTACAATAATCATGGTGGTGGTGGTAGTGTTGATATTGCTATTCTGAGACTGTGTGAGTGTATAGTTATCCCAATTTTGTCATTCTTAGAGTTCTTAGGGATTGGGATTCTTGGTGTGAGGTAGAAAGAAGATAGAAAGGTAGAAGAGGTTAAGTTAAAAGCTCTGTATTCCTGAATTGGAAAAATCAGACTGAACTCATGTTGTATATTATTTTAACAATCAAACAAGCAAATAAGCATACTTCTAGCTCTGTTTATGGAAAAGGACTAGAAGCACTGATCAATCCATTAGCCAAAAGCACCCAAAGCAGCAAGACTGTGGTCTTAAAATATTGAAAAGAAGCAGAGCTCTTTGGAGAAATAGCTGATTCTAAGTCTAGAGAAGGAAATGGGTAAAATAAACTTGGAGCCTCTTATATGGATAGCAAGGAAGCTGTCAAATACTACTAGGACTATTGCCAAAAGAGTCTCCCACTGGTTGGCCAAAGATGGGACAATGTAAGCACCAATAAGGATGATAATTTCAATGAATTAAAACACATCAAGTGTTCACATTGATGAGTTCATCATGATACTAGAAAAAAAAAAATAAACCTAATGGATTGCTCACCATTGGAAAATGCTTGCTTCCAGCTCATAATTTTGAAAATGGGTGAAGTTTTAGAATCTCATATTTACCTCTTCCTGTGCAAACTTTAGGATAATCAAACAGTAGTTGAAGTCAAGTTTTATGTATAAAAATATTCTAGCTAAGAAGTAATAAGGAGTGATAGAATTAGAATAGCCTGATTTTACAGCCCCTAATGAATGAATGGATAGGTAGGTCTTGAGCAGCCAGAGCTGCTGATGTGACAGCGATGAGAAACAACCAGATGCTATGTGCGTGTCGTCATGGAAACACTACCATCAATGATGTGGTCAAGCCAACAAAGTCAACCCTGGAGCTGATCATGCTCTATGTGCAATAACCAATGAATAAATGATCTAGGGCCGAGGTGCTTGTTACACTACACCACAGGCGTGTAATCAACAAAACCCAGACTGTGGGCAAATGACCTACTTTCTTCAACACATAAATTTCAAGGGGAAAAAAAGAGAGACGAATTAAAAGACATTTAAAATTTATATCAACTAATTGCCACATGTGGATCTTATTTGGATCCTGACACAAATTGTAAGAAAACAGTATTTATGAGACAGAAATCTGGTCACTGACTGGACATTTGATAACATAAGAAAGCATTAATTTTTTTTTATTATGAGTACATAATTTTAAAGAGTTCCTATTTTGGAGATACATATTGGAATACTTATGGATTAAATGATGTGATGTCTGGGATTTGCTTCAAATTAATATGACAGCAGACTGGGGGTGCGACAGAAGAAACAGGATTGGTATGATTTGATTGACACCAGGGGGTTCACTAAATTATTCTGTCTTATTTTGTATATGTTTAAAGTTTTCTATGGTGAAAAGTTAAAAAAATAAAATATGTTTGGGGTCTTATTGCACATCCCCTCACCACACCTGTTCTGTAGTGTTGGCTCTGGATTCTCAGGGATGCTGTTTCTACTGTTTATTCATTAAACAAATATTTTTGAGCAGCCTTTGTCCACACCTTGTAGGCAAGGGAGAAGGTGTTTGCCATCAGAGGTTTATAACCTGTCTGGAAGACCACCCACGTGCGCTCAAAATAGTTGTAAACCACAGAGCAAGGATGCCTTGGGGATTGAATGGGTTACACAGGTTGCAAGCTGTCTGGGACCTCGATCACTTCTCACACCCATGAGCCTGCCTCTCCATAATCCCTTGTGTTTTCTAGATGTGGTGGTTCTATATGGAATTAGGGGGTAAATAACAACAGCAACAAAAACTTGAGCCATTGCCCATTTGGATTGCGTTGCATATTCCTTGACTAATAGGCATTAAAGAATGACCACAGGTTAATGCATGGCTCTTATAGAAAATTCTGAAATGCAGTGATAGTCACTTATTCGTTAGTGTGAACATTTTGATTTCATTCTTATTGTTTCAAGAACGACTTATTAGTGCCTATATATTTTAGGATATGGGTTTAAAATTTAGTACATTGCCGATTTGGAAGATATTCTCCACATTTATTATCTATACATTTTTAGTTCCTAAAGTGCCTTATCTACATATGTGCATACATTTTACTTTGGGTTCTGAATTATTTTTATAAACACCATCTCCTCTGTCCAGTGTTTTTTCTAGGTACCTTTCCCAGACAGTCAACTCGATATTAATATTAGTGATTAGCTTGAGTGGTTTCTTGAGAGCTTGTTCTCACTTTTTCACCATGAAGTCATGTGTGAATCTAGTTTTAGTTAAAGTAATAAACATTTGTTACATGCTTGGAAAAACTTTCTGACTAGACATGAGCTCATCTAAATGTTCACTTTTCACATATGCTGGTGGAAAAGGATATGGATGGAGAGAGAATTATTTTTTATTTCCTTTATACATAGGAGTGTAAAGTAATTTTCCAAAAACTCATGATACTGTCCCATTTTCTCTTGCTTTCCAAAGCCATGATTATCTTAAAGTCTGAGCTAACACAGCTGTCTCTCATTACCTTCGGGGCACAAGCCTTGCTCCCCCTCCCCCGGTGCCCTCTGAACACTGAGAGCGCTTTCTTGGTTCAGAGGGAGCCCGTGCCTGGCCTGCCCACATTGAGCTCACGTCCTCCATCCATATAATTGGAAAATGCCGTAAAATCCAAATGAGGGGCTGATTTAACAGAGAGACTGGAGAATTGTGCCAGTTCGTCTACATTATTTTTTCTTTTTTGGAGATCAACCAGGGTTGCTGACCATTCCTAGAAGAATAACCTTTCATTATTCCATTAAGCTTTCTACTATTTACATCACTGAGGGTTTTTAGTTTTGCTCTGTTGTTATAATTGAAGAAGAATGTTCCAGCCTTATCCTGGTTGTGTTTGAGACAAGGCACTGTCCGATTGAGGGAATCTCCCACAGCAGCAGAAGAACGATCCCTCTCCTACATTTCCATACGGTAGAGGTGGCTACTACAGGATAGAGTGCACTGGGGGAGGGCAGGGGAGGGCTGGTGGACATAGGTGACGTGGCCACTGTTTGTCACTCTTGAGTCTTTATCTGTAAAGAGAAGGTAGGATTAGATCAGTGGTTCTTGAACTGGCCGGCCTTTAGGACTTCCTGGGGAATTCAATAGCAAAGCTGGGCCTCACTTCTAGAAATTCTGGTTAAGTCCTCCGGGGAAGGGTCCTGCTTCCTCTTCCTTTTCAAAGCTCCCAGATGATCCTAAGTGGGCTGAGGCCCATCTGAGCACCTCCGAGTCACCTGGAGGGCACCTCCCAATCATGTGGAGGGCATGGTAGGCACAGGTCCGTGGGCCCCATAGCAAACTTCCCTATCAAGTAAGTCAGGGGTGGAGTTGGGCGTTTGCATTTTTAACAAGTTCCCAGGTGACCCTCTTGCTCCCCGTGGGTCTGGAGACCTCTCTTTGTGAACCACTGAGTCGATGACCCTGAGGTTCCTTGCCTGGTCTGCCTTCTTTGAGCAGGTCTGCAGGCCACCCACGGTGGCTCTTTTGAGGGGTGGCACGCTGCTCCAGATATATGCGGGGAACTGCGCTCTGCCTCCTGCTGGTCTGGCAAGCCCACAGCTCAGGAGATGGAGGGTCTGCTTCCTTACGTTATGATACCATTTACAAGGCCTTAGGACTGTCCTGTGGAACACACGAGGGGTTTTGAACCCTTCACTTGATGGTCTGTGCTGCTTTGGATGTTCCCGCTGTTAAACCCAGCAAGCTTCATGTGGCCCGTGCCTAGGGACCTGTGAGGGTGCAGAGCCTGCCGGTTTTTGAAGAATGAGAAACAGAACACTATAAATATTCCTGACAGTCAGGGATTCGCTTGCTTTATCTTTATTAGATTGCCCAGAAGGCAATCCTTGGTCTTTGGCAAACAACAATGTGAAGACTGGTTGTAAAATTCCTCTGGCAACAGTTGAGATGCTTCATTTGAATAGAGCAGAACAATCTCAGGGGTCGGTCTGGCTTCAAAGGCCTGTGCATAGTTTTAACAGCACAGTCTGCATGGAGGATGGACCGGGACAGGATTTGAAGTCTTTTTTTTTTCCTTCATGTGTCTTTTTAAAAAAATTTGTCTTTATTGTTGAAAGTATTACAGATGTCCCCTTGGTTTTTGTTGTTGGTTTTTTCTCCCATTGACTCCCACCTCCCTACACTTGCCCCTACCAAGCCTTCACCACTCTATTGTCTGTGTCCATGTGCTATGCATAGCCTATATAATAAAAGCCTAATATGCAAATCGACCAAACGGTGGAATGACAGGTCGCTATGATGCACACTGACCACCAGGGAGCAGATGCTCAACGCAAGAGCTGCCCCCAGCCCACAGGCCCCAGGCCAGCCAAGGCAGGTGCCAGTGGGGGCCCCCCATTCACCCCGCCAGTCGCCCCACAGATGGGCCCTGATCGCCGGCCAGGCCTAGGGACCCTACCCATGTACAAATTTTATGCACTGAACCTCTAGTATGCATATAAGTTCCCCGGTTAATTTCGCCTCCCCCGCCCCCCCATCCCCACCTTCACCTTCCCTCTGAAACTTGTCAGTCTGTTCCATGGTTCTATGTCTCTGGATCTATTTTGTTCATCAGTTAAATTTTTTCTCTCTTCTCCTGCCAGGATGACAAGGATTTGGTGCATGAATTTGTGGTGGCTGAAGGTCTGACCTGTTTGATCAAGGTGGGAGCTGAGGCCGACCAGAACTATCAGAACTACATCCTGAGGGGTAAGTTCCCACAGGCCATGCAGCAGTCAGCCCCTGCTGCAAGGGTTTTTTTTTTTCAACACCCAGAACTTTTTAAAAGGCTTGGATTAGGAGTAAGATGATGAAACCACCTGGTGGCAAAAGATGAAAGCTTCATCAAGTCTCATCAATTTTTAGGAATTAGTGACTGAGCTAATTTTACTGACTTTCATATGAAGTCTTTTATGGCTATTAAGAAAAAAGGATGTATGAGCTAGGTTCTTTATAATCTTTTATGGTGAAGAAGGGGACATACTAAGTAGGCTTGGGCAAAGTCTGAATTTCTGCAGAAAGCCACCCAAATCCAAAGAGGCCCATTTATTTCCTGGGAAAAGTATTTTCTCCAACTTGAGTTACCACCAGAGCATGTGTCAGAGTGCACATTCCTCGCCGGGCAGGTCCTTCTGCTCCTGACTCGGTATGTCTGGGGTGCACCCAGGAATTTGCATTATAAGGAACGATTCTGATATCTACCTCCATGATTTCATTTTTATAAAGCAATGCACATGTGGAGTTGGGAGTGCTGATTATTGTTCCAGCTCATAAAGTTAATGCTCTTTTCATAGTTTACAGGGTTTTTTTGATGCACCTTCATATAAATCCCAATTTTATTTGATCCTATAAGAAAACCTGTGAATGTTTTGAGGTAGGAATTACTAGGTTGGACCATATGAAATCACTGTTATCAATAGTTTTGACCTGTAATAAGAGAAACTTAACATAGTTTAATATTATCTTAATTTTGCAGCTGAGAAATTTGAGACGCAAGGAGCTAATAAAATCAGTTTCTCTGGTGTGTGTTCACACCGGGGTCGTACCCAGGAACAGGGACACAGCAAGGTCAATGCAGGCTTGGATCCTCTTCTGCACATGTGTCCCTCTTCTGTGATCATATAAGGAAAAACCCTCCTTTCCTTTCCCCCGGATGAAGGAAAAATACATGCAACGGGTGATTTAATATCGAGTGTCCATGGTTAGTAGGAGACAGGCAAAATGGAGCTGTCCGCCACAGTTCCGGTTGCGTCTTACCCTGAGACGTGTCCTGATGTTCTGTGCCGATACCCAGCACACTGAACCCTGAGTCCTCCCTTTTCCCTAATCCTGGAGAACCACTGTCACAAAAGGCAAAAGCAAAAGAGAAAACCTAGGGCTCATTACAAAAAAAATTAAGGACACATTTTCAAGTCAGTGTGAGTGGTTCCTATTCCTTTGATAAATGCCAAATGTGTGTGTGTGGAGAGCCCCGCAGCCTCTGGCTTTTCTAGTTCATGGTGTTTGTGAGACGAAGGAGTTGTCTCATTTTGTTGAACTTCAGTTTTTTCCTGGGTATGTGATGGATCCTCATGACAAGTTGTCAGTAGACAGGCTCTATTTGGTGAGCTGAAGGATTTCTGTCCTCAATATAATTAAAACATTTATGTGGAAACTTTTGTGGGATATGTAGACAAATTAACCAGAACATTGTCCTGCACTGTTGCCTTCCAATGCAGCTGTCTTTCTGTGTCTGAGGAGACGGTGCAAGCCTCGATTCTCACCCTCATGTCCCATTCACACTGGTCCAACACCTCAAATAGGGGAAGGCACAGAAATCCGGGTGGAGGAAGTTCTTCTAGTTTATTTTCCAGGTCACCTATAAATATGGATGCTCATAAATTGAAACACATGGAAGGAAATATACCTAACATGGCCTAATTCTGAATAGTGAGTCCAAATTGACAAATTTTTATGTTTAAAGTATGCATCATTTTAACTCTAAAAAAGAAGTCTTCTCTAGCCAATGCTTGTTTGAACATATGCACGCACACACCTCTATAGAACTAATATTAAAACCATCTATGTGTTGATTGTCATTCTTCTAACCTTATCTAGGAGTGTATATGTGCATTTTTAATGAGTCATCATCAGTGTAAATAGCTACATTCAAGGCTGGGGATACGGGTAGGGCTCTGCCAGCTGTAGTCAGCCTCCTTTTATCAGGAAGGTAAAATTCTTGTCAGAAGCCCCCTGCAGACATCCCATGGATTAGAACTGGGTCACATGACCATTATAGCTGCAAGGGATGCTGACAGAGCGAGTATAGTAAGTCCTCACTTAACGTGTTTATAGTTTCTCGGAACTGTGGTCAAACCAATGAAACAAAACCAGTTTGACCATAGGTAATTGATATAAACAAGAGTTAAGTTCCTATGGCATCTCATGAGCATTATAACAAAATGATGTTGAATGAAACAGTGTTACTCAAGAACATGCTGTATTTGATTCCCTGGACTCTAAGGGGCAGCAGCAAGAGAGAAAGGCATGGCTTTGGATCTGAGGGTTACCAGTGCCTGCCATGTAGAGGGAATTAGGAAGAAAAAACTCATCCCGGCTGAGAAAGCCTGCTGGAGAGCAGCCATGTGGTGGCCCGTTTGGAGGGAATGGGGGCCTCCCTGCTGCCGAGGGAATGGTAGGTTGTTTAGGGGGCAGAATAAGCTTAATGGCTACACAAGACCCAAAACCGTGTGCTCATGGCAATGGAAGATGGCATTGACGTAGAGTACCTCTGTCAGGCTCTCTACCTTAGGGAGTGCTTATCATTAAGCTCATGGTGGTTTACGACTTGGCAGTGTTCTGATCTGTACCAGAGGCAATTACAAATCTTTAAGAATCAGAAGGTCCGAGCACAACCAGGGAGAGCCTTGTCAACCACCTGCTGCTCTCTGGCCCTGCAGAAAGTGCCACCGAGGTAAGACCCCCACTGCAGACAGCTCTTCTGCATGTGGGGGGATGCTCCACGTTTCCATTGCCAGCACATGGGTCTGGCCTTTAGACTTGGCTTTCCCAGGAGCGTCCATGTATTGGAGGCAGAAGGTTCCCATGTGTTACCTGGACACGAGCATGTGCATCACACCCCTTCAGGTGACGACAAGGTGTCTGTTCCCAGGTGGGGAGGTGCGTTTGCATGGCTGCCTCACTTCAGCTAGGTCTTGGAAGACACGGGGTAACCAGGGCGCTGTGCAAACCTTAGCACATTTTGAAGTATTTGACTGAAACGTGTGCCAGGAAAGTACCTTCTGAGAGCTGTAAATGACAGATTTGGGGGTGTGACTTTGGTGTTTTTATACAAGGAAACTATCATTTTTCCTAGGCCACATGTTGAGTCACCCCTTCCTGACTTTGAACAACTTCTCATGGAGGCTTTTTTGGGCTGTGATCAGCGGCTGGCGGCCAGGAGACATTTTCGATCAAGGATGACCTTTACATCACCTCTTTATTTGTCCAACCGTTTTTAACTGAATCACCCTAGATGCAGATCAACAGAGAGAAACTAGAAAGAGTCTCAGTTTTGTAATTCACAGTCCTGGGGAGAACTCAGCATGCTATCTGGGGTCACACTGAGTCCTGGGTGGGGGGAGTCCTTTGTTGTGGTTTCCATGGGGAGGCGGAGGAAGCAGGTGTAGGAGTGGCCAGTGTGAAGGATTTCCGTGGGCCCTGGAATTTAGGGCTGTCCCTGGTTGTCTGTTACCTGGCCCTGGGTGATTCGGGTGGGAATGTCATGGCCTAGAGTGTGAGAGCCCACAGGGCAGGTGGTTGGGGGCGTGGACTTGAGCTGCTGGGCAAGGGGAGCTGACTGACCTCAGCCTGGTCAAGATGGCATTCCAGAACCCCTGATAGGACAGCCTGGCCGCTGTGGCTCAGTTGGTTGGAGCGTCCTCCTTTATACCAAAAGGTGGTGGGTTCTATTCATAGTCAGGGCACGTACCTAGGTTGCGGGTTTGATCCCCTGTCGGGGCGTGTGTGAGAGGCAACCAATTGATGTCCCTCCCTCCCTCCCTCCCTCCTCCCTCCCTCTTTCCCTCTGTCCCTTCCTTTCTCTAAGATCAATGGAAAAACAAAAAACACATATAGAAACACACAATGAGGTGGTTGATTGTCCAGCTCCGTAGGGGAGTTCCTTCATGGAGTACCTTAGGAGCTCCACTTGGTGTGACCATGTGCAAGTCCCCAGATCCAAGGGAAACAAGCGCATTTGGAGAACCCACTGCTTTCCACATCTGCTTTTAGAACTCGTTTAATTTATCTTTATTTTTGCACTCGGCCCTCTGTCAGCTCCCCTTGTAAGGCCCAGGAATCTGTTGCTTTTAGTAGAGGATGCATCTGCTGAGAAGTAAAGATAGGTTTTGAGTTACGGTGTAGCCAAGTGCTCTCCAAAAAATGTGAGCCGGCTGCTGGGAATAGGTCTTAAATGTACAACATGTAGAAATAATATTTATCTGGCTTATTATTCTTGGATGGTTATAGCTAATGATCTAAAGGTTGTTTTTTTTTTCTCGATAGCCAGTATTTAATATAAATCTGTGGAATTTGTACCTCACAATTATTCTTATTGCAGTAAGACCTAGAGTGGTATCTTCTTGGGAACTTAAACTTTCCACACACATGCTGAGCCTTCAGCTGTGGGCTATGCTGGCCCTGGGCTGTGACAGTGTAACTGAGACATAGCCCTGCCCCAGAGAAGCTCCTGGGAGGGGCTGGGCATGGCCATTCTGTGTGTTTTATGGCATTTGTCTTCTGTTTAGGAACTGCACATAGGTGGTATGCTTTGGGGAAGAAGAGAGAAGCAGACACAGAGAATTAGTCTGACCAGCCACCTTTCCTGGCTGCACCTGAAGGGAAGCTGCCTCTTAAGGGCTAGGTTTTCATGGAGAAAGTTGATTTTATCCTAAAGCAAATTATTTGTGAATCATAAAACACACCTTAGTCATTACAGAGCTGGATAAGGTCTTAGAACTCCTTTAGCTCTACCCTCTCATTTTAGGAGAAAATGTCAGATATTTGATTTGTCCCCATAATATGTTTTTAAAAATATTTTAACGGTTGCCAATATTAAAAATGGGTTATTTAATCCAGATTTTAGACTTTTTTCCCCCAAAAACTACAACCTGAGAAATTCAGAGCTTTGCCAACTATCACTTAACTATATTTCACTACAGGAAAATAAT